GCCTACCACTTCTGTCGCAAGGCGAAGCGCCGGAAGCCGTGGCGGAGGCTTCTGACGTAGCAACGCCACTGGAGGGCTGCTCGCGGGAGGGGCCAGAAGAGGCCACGTGACGCCCCTGAAACCATAGAGGCGTTTGAAAGCACGCCGCAGCTGGCAGAATTTATTCTCCTCCTGATTTTTTAGTACTAAAAGTCGCCCGGGAAGTCTTTTGCCATAGAGGTGACCCAGACGGTGCTCGCGACCGTTGAAAGTCGTAGCCAGGCCTGAATCTTTTGTATACCTTGTGGAATATAAAAAGCCCTCTGTATGCATTAACCGCAACATACATAACCGAGCTCCCTCCAAGTCGCGGCCCTGCCCACCAAATGATAACATTCTTGCATTTTCCCTTGTTCTCTCCGGATGTTGAAGCAAAAGCCTCTCTTCTCGATTATTCTCTATGGGCGCCAAAAGGAGTGCCGCTCTAGCTCTCTATTTCCCTGGTGAAAGCCCGACATGGTTTGGATTGGAAACTCGAGTGGAAAAGTCACGCTCAGTTTCGGAAGAGACGCGCTTGCGAGTTGCACAAGGGGCGCGCGAGCCCCTGAACTCCACGTGCCTCTTCGCACCTGGGCGATCAGTTCCTCTCCCGCCAAGAACGCCGGGCCCGGGCAAGGGGCGGGGCAGCTGCTGAACACGCGAGAACTACATCACCCAGGCTGCACTGTGCTCACGTGACCCTCCCGGCTTCTGGTGGATCCTTCCTTCCCACCAGATGGAAAATGGCAGTACTGAGCCCCGGGGAGCGCTGGGCCGAAGGTAAAGCTCCGCGCCGATGACGCGGCCAGAGCCGGGCAAAACCGGCTGATTGGGGACTTAAATCTTCTTAGGGGAGACCGGTGACCAAAGAGCCAGGTTATCAGAGAACAGAGCTTGGTGATACGTTACAGACTGACCGACGTATTGTGACTGCAGCTTTAATCAGAGGGATGTTGGGGCACTTGTCAAATGAGAAATGCACGTGGGAACAAAGGAAACGATAGTACTTTAGGAAGGCAGTGCTTCTATGGAAAGTTCTGTTGCATACAAATATTGAACTTGCAAACTTTGCGGGTATGCATAGAAAGGTATAAATGTATTCCTTCCTTTTGTCTGCGTGGTCTTTCGAGTTTTTCTCAGTCCAAATATATGTGTGTGTTTATTTACGAATGAAGGACAATCATCCACGCATGTAGTTTGCAACAGTTTTGTGCTGCTATTTAAAAAGAAATCGCTTTTGAAATGCATTTTTCTTGCAGCAGATAAACATAGCTGCACTTTGATATGTCACAGATGATGGAGGTTTGGAAAGAGTGCTTCTATGGAAAGTTCTGTTGCATACAAATATTGAACTTGCAAACTTTGCGGGTATGCATAGAAAGGTATAAATGTATTCCTTCCTTTTGTCTGCGTGGTCTTTCGAGTTTTTCTCAGTCCAAATATATGTGTGTGTTTATTTACGAATGAAGGACAATCATCCACGCATGTAGTTTGCAACAGTTTTGTGCTGCTATTTAAAAAGAAATCGCTTTTGAAATGCATTTTTCTTGCAGCAGATAAACATAGCTGCACTTTGATATGTCACAGATGATGGAGGTTTGGAAAGAAGGAGGATAATGCGGCTGGGTAAACACTGGAAGAAGTGTTGCTTGGATGAGGTTTGAGAATGGAAGTTACCTTTAGTTCTGGAGAACCATGGACAGACTAAAATGCAAAAGAATGGTGTGAGGGGGGATTAGAAGGAAACAAAGTGTTGAATTTTGGGGGTCTTTTCTGCCTATCATGCCTATCATGAATTTGGGCAAGGGACCCAAGGAACTGCAGTACATAAAACTACCTAGAAATCTAAGAAAACTTTCACTGGTACATATAATGTGGTACACTGGATGTACTTGCAGGGTGACTAGAAATACAGCATAAAAATAGGGTTGTATGAGTGGTTTAATCCACATTACTAATGACAATCTTTGGTTGACATGCCCACTTGTTGTTGGATCACATGTTAGACATGAGCTGAAATTTACTTTAAGTTGCCTTTCTGTTTCCTGTACCAAAGAAGGAACTTCTATATTGACTCAAAATGATGTTTCCAACAGAGTACACACAATCAGCTGTGTGAGACGTGTGTGTACACTGGTCCCAAAGATCCAAATCTTATGTGATGGTGATCTTGGAAGCTGCTGAATTATTGTCCCTGCTTATCATCTTTTCAAAATATACCTGTTTAACATTCTTCGTAGTAAGCTTTCCTCAAAAAAGAAAAGCTATATTATTGCACATTGTTAGACAGAGTTTAAATAGGTAAAACAAGATGTGGCGAGAAGGGTATATCATGATTTTAAGGGACTTGCACAGCAGTTTTCTTATGTATTTTCTTACGTATTTTATAAGTTCATGGCCATATACATGAGTTGTGCATGGATATTTTAAAGTATGTGATTTGTGATCCACTTTGATAAATATATATACATAGGAGGGCTATCATTGTTTCAGCATTAATTGATGAGCTCAGAAGAAATCCATGTCCATCAGAGGAACTAAGAGACAATTTTGACTGCTGTGGCTGTAGTGACTGTATGAGAATGAAAAAGGAGCGTATGTGTGACAGTGGAAGAAGCCAGTCAACGTGTGGGGAAGGCAGCATGACCTACACCAAGGAACAGTTACTTGGAGTGCAAAGGTAAATAGAAACTTCTCTAACTAGAACATGTTCTTACTTGTTAGGCCTGCAACCTGTTGTTTGTTTAATTAATAAATTAATTTATAAAACTAATCTCTACATTCTCCAATCTGGTGCTCACCAAATGGGTTGAGCTGTGTATCCTATTATCCAAGATGCCTAGGGATTATGAAAATTGTGAAGCAAGACATTTGGAGAACTCCAGATTTGGAAAGTTCTTTCCACTTTGGGCATGTTATCTTGTATGCACTGAATTTCAATTAAATGACCCAGTTTCAATGCATTCCTAACTCCAGATAGTGGTCTACCAAAGAAATTAAACCCTCTGTTTCATTTGGAATGGAGCCACCTATATCTTATATGTTGTACAGTAGATATGTCAGTTTTGAATAACACGAGGATACTGTAGAACCCTAAGAAGATCCCACACATTTACTGTCAGAAGAACAGTAGTTGCCCAGTTCTGAACATGAGATTACAAGTGGCTTAGTGTGTTGCGTAAGTTCAGAAATATATCTTGGTTAATTATATCAAAAGCTGCTGGGTGATCCAGGAAGCATAGGACAAGGGGTTCTCACTGAGGCATCTGCAGGATCGGAGGCTTTTGTCAGAATTAGGAAAGCAGCATTGCAACCCAAGCTCTGCCCCTTTCGTCTGTCGCTACACATATAAAAAAGCAATGGAACTGGCATCACAATAGTGCAACACAGTTTTCATCTTTTGGAGCCTCACCCCTCTTTCCTCTGTGGATACTTACATTTTAAATTCTCAGAGCTGAACTTTAACTTGGACTGTACTGAATGCCCAAGAGCAGCTGAAACACTTTCTATCAGTGAAGCAGATCTGCAAAGTATAATAAAACTAGAAAAACACCTTACTAGGCAGAAGGTATGCTTGGGTATCTAAGAAGAATCTGTAAATGCTATTTGGAGAAAAGTTACAAAATTAAAGAATTGTGCTTATTTTGTAGAATAAAGGACAGTAAGAATTACTATGAAATTCTAGGCGTAGGAAGAGATGCAAAAGATGAAGAACTAAAAAAAGCTTACCGAAAACTTGCCCTTAAATTTCATCCTGACAAGAATTGTGCTCCAGGAGCAACAGATGCATTCAAAGGTAGGTGAAAGGGCTTGAAGGGGACCACAACAAACTATGAAGATCTTACTATGCTGTGTTGGCCAATGCGAAGATATTTTTAGGAGATGTTCCTATAAGCAAGTGTAGTATTTGTATAAGTAAAATGCTAGGAAAGGTTCTAAAGTTGCCACCTCTTGGGAAATAGTTCTATCTGAGTCTTCCTCACATATGCTTTTTTATAAGCATCTTATATCAGTGATTGATGTAATTTCTCAGGTTAGTATGAGTCCTCATCCAGATTATATAACAATTTGAAATTCCATATTTGTGTTGCCATTGGACACAAACGGTGGCAGGCCATGCATTTTTAAGAGAACGGTAAGGCAAGCTTTTTATTGGGATCTCATTCCAAGGAGAGTGTGTCATTAAGTACAGTAGTTGTTATCACCAGGAAGGATGCAAAATGAGTGCAATCTCTCTCATTTGGAAAGTTATTCTAGTATGGGAGATGATGTTTTCATTAAGGCAAGTTGGCTTGTAAAGCCTCTGGTCTATTCCCGATTGTGTTTCTTTGGTATTGTGCTGAAAAACAATTTTCCTTCAGAAAGAGCTAATTTCCTATTTTCTAACATCAGAGTGGAAGTAATACTCAGGTATTGATATCAGAAGTTCTTGTCTGTAGAAGAGTTGATGTCATGCTAGAGTACAATGTAGCTTGGTTTTGGATTAGCATGATATGAACCCAGTCATTGTAGTTTATAAACCACAATTTATGGTTTTATGTTGTTCATGGATCAGGTCATTAATGATTTATTTAGAAACATGTTTAAACCAAACCATTGACATATTGTAATATGTCATTTGGGGTCCTCTATTCAGTAAGTGATTTGGGAAATTTATCTTTCTCACAGCTGAGTTTGTCTTTATTTGGCAGAACTAAGGGAGGAGGTGATCTTCAAATTTTGTTGCAACCTCTAGATATCAGAAAACTTTGAATTGTTAAAATGGTTTTTGAACCATAGAAAGTGATTTATTTGTCCTAAAGCCATAATTATTTTTTTTATCCCTGCCCTATAACTGTTCAGCTCTCCAAAGATATCTAGTAATACAGCAGTAAATGGAGGATTGTAAATTACATGTTTCCTTGTGTTTGATCTATTAAACATTTTTAACTGGCAGTTGCTAATTATTTTCTGCCAGTCTCTGTCAGCCCTCCAAGGTAGACCAAATTTGGAAACCAAAAATATACAAACTAATACTACTATTACTATAAGGTTATAATAACATAATCTTGTAAGTCTGAATGTGTTTCCCTTTTCCCTCCTTTTATCTTCATGAGAACTAGGGAGGTCATGTTTGAGACACTTTCTCAAATTACATTTCTGCTCCAGACTCAGATTTCTTTTATCTGACAGTTGTCTTGGTTGCCTTCCTCCTGTTCCTCAAGGTTATTTCTTTTACCCATTACAGTCTCCCAATATTCAAACAAAAGAATAGGAATATTAGACAACATTAGGCATTTCTGCTGGATGTGGAACAAAAAGATGTCTTGTTAGTTGGGGTTACTCCTATAATATGGTTATGTATTTCATCAGATTTGGTTTTGTTTTTTGATTGGTTTTCTTTATTTTCTTTTCCACTCTACAGCAATAGGCACAGCTTTTGCAGTTTTGAGCAACCCTGAGAAGAGATTACAGTATGATCAATTTGGAGATAAAGGAGACACTTTTTATACCAATGTGCCCAACCATTATAACTATTACAGAGAATTTGAAGCAGATATTACACCGGAAGAAATATTCAATATGTTTTTTGGAGGGAATTTCCCAACAGGTGAATATGTATCTTTTTAGCTATGCTTTAAAGTGCAATGAAAGCTGCTGTTCAGGTGGCCTTCTTCATCCCTCTTTTGCTATTAATTACTAATGAAGCTCCAGATACAGTTTTTATGAGTATCTGAAGCTTCCAGAGAACTATAAGCTATATTTTCTTAACAAGTATTGCATATGTGGCCACTCAACAAGATATGATGCTACTTCAACTAGGCCATTTCATAGCACTATAGCTATGAAGGATAGGAAGCAAAACAGCTTTCCTCGATTGTTCAGACTGAGCCTACTCTTAATAGTGCAGTACTTTGGTTTCCTCTCAACCTGAGGTGCTCCAGGTTTACTGGGTTAAAATTCTCATTTTTTCCAACTGATATTAAACAATTGTGGAATGTAGTCAATACATTTGCAGGCATACAAGTTTGAGAAGGCTGTTCTGCTCTACATTAATGTTATTAAACTGGCTCATACTGCAGCTCTGAGAAATCTAGCTAACTTATAGGTCACCTACATGGTTTGGTTTTGTCCTAAGGTGATTTGGCTGTTACTGGTTTAATTTTACTGGTTTACTCCTTCAGTTTTGGTAGTCTGCATATGTTATTACATCAGTTGTGGTAATCTTGACTCTTTGTGATGTCACCAGAAATGGGAAAAACCATGTAATTCTACAGTTGCACTGTATTCCTTTTTTGCCTTAATAAAGCAAGTATTACAGATGAATGTTTGGATCCCAGGTTCCACATGTAGAATTCTGCTCACCAGATGTTCCCACTACTGGAACATGCAGCCCCTTGAAAGTCAACTCAGGGCAGTGAGAACAGCATAGGAAGTATCATCTTTTTAATGAAACAAAAGCGCTCTTGTGTTTATAAAAAAGCAAGCCAAGTTGGAAATTAGCTTTTAAAAATAAAATAAGACTCTAGGGTCTTATGACACAAGCAAAAAGTCATAAAGAAGGGATGAGAATGGCATCTTTGTTTTATTGCTATTTCAACAGGAAATATACATATGTTTTCCAATTCTTCAATGGACCCCCCATGTTATCCACAGCGGAACAGACATGAGAGGACATGGACCCAGAATGAACAGGAGGAAGAAATTAGACCACAGGTACACGAGAAGGGAAAGAGTTATAATCATACATAATCAGTGCTGATTTGTTGCCTATCCATAGGAAGAATTCTTGTTTTGTTTATAATTAATAAACATTGGAACTATTTTAAAATGAAGTGGTATTTATGGATCTTGGAAGGCTCTTAATTGTAACTTGCTCTTCTAAGAAAGATTCTGAAAGCATTTGCAGTCTTATGAAAATCTGGCTACAAATTCCACTGAACTATATGGTGTTTCCTTTGGAAGATTTTTTTTTAATTGATGTAGAATTATAATATCAGTAAGTGGACAAAGGAGTTACCAAGGTTGTACAGTTAGTGCTGAGTGTATCATTGATGAGAAATTAACCATAAAAGACAAAGTACGTTGAATTATTTTTACAGTATGAGAAAGAATTTAAATCTCTGAACTGATTAACAAAATCTTCACTGTTTTGTTATAGATGGATGGATGGGCAATATTTAGTCTCTAACTTCCCCTTTGTTGTTCTCTAAGCCACAAGCTGTTCTTTGCATAGCACATTGACCAACTCTCTCACTCAGTGACAATACACCTTCCTTTGAATTTGAATTAGATATTTATTTTGTCAAACTAAACTCTAAATGGTTCTGCTTCCCAGATCTCCAGCCTTTTTTTTTTCATTCTTCTAAAGAAAATAGGAGCTAGAACAGGAACAAGCAGTCATCCTAGTACCCAAATTTGCTTCAAACTTGTTCTACCCAACTTTCTAGAACACATTTAAAGAGTACAAGGCAGAAGAAGGAAATAATAATAATAATAATAATAATAATAATAATAATAGTATGCTGCCCAACTCTGAGTGACGATTTATGATTGTCTAAAACCTAAAAATCAAGAGTCAGCATTTTCTGACCCTTGGGCACCGTCAAATTAGCTTGCATCCACAAACAAAACAGACCTTCCAAAACTGAAACCATGAGAGTTTTTGGCATAAGATTTAATGTTAATTTTTTATGTTATTAGAAGAGTGGGGGATAGTTCTAAAGGGTCCAGCAGCCTGAAGTAAATGGGCATTCATTTTTCAGACCAGAAAAAAGAGCTTGGTGTAGTAATGGGGGGGGCAAAATTAATGTAAAACTTGATAATTCATTAATGCCTTGCACTGCAATGTCAGATTTGCTCAGATTTTGCCCCTATAGGCAAGTGACTTGATCAAAAGTACTACGTTTTTGCCGATACTTACTTTTGTTCTAAATTAAAACATAGCCCCCTATCTGGGGATGATTGTGCTACCATTTTCATTCATTTTGTCCTTGTATGCTTCACTAATCATAGTTTTCATTTCCAGAATACCTACTCAGCATTTATCCAGTTACTGCCAGTCTTTATTATAATAGTTGTATCAATAGTAACTCAACTGATGGCTACTAATCCACCCTACAGCCTCTTCTTTAAATCGTAAGTCTAGATCAGTTTCTTTGCTCACCTGGGAGAATAGAGGCCACTTCTTGACACTAACTTTCCAACACCAGGTTTAATCTTTGTGCCAGAAGGGGCCTCTACTTTGTTATATATATAAATGGCAATTAAGTTGAAAAGCTTTTTACCCCGTAGCTATACACATTCCAAGCTGACTATGTTTTTGAAGAGAGAATTTAACTTCTGTGTTGAAAATTGTCTGAAAGATGGCACATTAAACATATAAACTACTCTGACTTAGTGCTCTATAGAAAGCATTAAAGCATTAAAAATGTGGGTATTTCTTTTCTTTTTTCTTTTCTTATCTGAATACATTACACTAAGATCCACGATGCCTTCAAGGAAAGTCCATTTCCAGTTTAAACATTTTGATGCCAAAGGATGGATAGGAAATAATTAAACTGTTACCTATCATTTTTGTACCAGGCAATTTTAAATAAAAATTAATCAGAAAAAATGCCACTTACTTTGTAAGTAGCCACTTTAAGCAGAATGGTATTTTTTAAAAAAGAGTGTAAAAGCAAGATTACAAGGCAACCTAGGGATTTTGGGAGTTGGAATCTCAATGTATCACAAGGACCCCAGTTTGTGGAAGGTTGCTTTATTGCATATGAAATATGGTTAGATTTAAAACAAATAAAAAGAGCACCGAACAGAGGCTGGAACTCAGACATTTACTGTCTATAATAACATCCTTAAATGATACAGGTCTAGGAAACCTGTAGGAATGCTTCCTTCCCTATGGTCCTGTATCCTCCCTTCTCTGTATCTTGTTTACAACAGAGGCAGAATTAATGGAGACAAATTTTAGAACCTCCAAAGCGGTTGCACCAATATTGCAGAATCCCTTTCTCTCTCTTTTTAGTAGATTTTGTGATGGTAAGATAAGTATTGTTTGCTACTCCGATTAGGCATAGAGCCAGGATAGATTTTTTTTTTAAAGGAAAGACACTACAAATAAAATAGATAGCAAAGAGGTTATGTTAGTACTCTTCCAAAAGCATTATGTTACATCTTCTCTTAATTTGTTTCATCTTCCAGATTGTGAGCCTGTGCCTTTCAGAAATGATATGAACTAAAAAAAAACCCCAGAAACCTCATGATAGTTAACTACTGAAAAACTGAAAAATCTATAATTCTTTTGGGTTGTATTCAAAAGCTTTTGTGTGTAAACCATGATATGTGGGCAAGATTCTGAACTTCATAGGATTATGTAAATGGATTAGAACAAAGAAATACATTTTATTGTAATAACAGAATCAAAGCTTCCCTCTTCACAGAGATGATGCAGCTGCAGATCAACCACTCCTGCTTTATCTTAAAGTTGCGTCATGTAAATACAGCGGAGTAGCTTCTTCTGGTCAAAACATGTTTGAGATGGGACTCGTGGTTTGTTTTAAGGAGTTTATGATTAGTTTCTCTGGCTACTTCTGCTGGATGTAGTGCTCCTGATCATTTTACAGGACACAACTGTTTTAAAACAGTTTATAAGAAAGAGGTGGTTTATAGCTGCATCACTTGGGAGAGAGGATATTGGGCCTGTTCATAGTCAGCCACATTTTGCTTCTGCTGAGCCATGTCAGTGATTCCCCTTGCTTGCTTGCAGAAAGCAGGAAATGTTAAACAGAAGTATTAATTGGACAAAAGATATTTCTGGTTTGTAAATAAAACAATCTATTTCCCTCTTGTTTAATATCACAGGTCTCTAGGGCACACTGTTGTTAGAGAAACACAAAACCTGCAGGTACCTTATTACGTGGATAAAAACTTTGAAAATAATTATCATGGAGAAGAACTTGAAGAACTTGAAAAACATATTGAGAAAGATTATATTGATCATATCCAAACTAGTTGCAGGAAAGAAAAACAGCAAAGTAAGTTTTGTTCTTTTCCTAAGCATCCTGCACTGTTTTCAAATTTAGATTTAAAAAAACACTCACAAAGAATGAGATATAACAAGCTGAGCTGCCAAAAAGACTATTGTTTAGAAGTGATATATAGCAAAAATACAGATAACGTAATTCACTCTGCTGTAGAGGACCCTGACAACATGAAATCTGTGTGTTTGATGTTAACCATTTGTCTACATAAATAAAGTTGTTTATGGTTCTGATATCCCAGCCTGTATCAAAGAATTTCTCTAATTACTAGGTTTTACAGCACTCACGAGTGCTGTTCTGCCAGTTGTATCTAAGAATTATATTCATACCTTTCTGTGTTTAAGTAGCTTTTCTTTTTGACCAAGCCAACATACCTCAGGCTTTGGAATTAATATAAAATTTTAAATATTAATATTTTTCACAAGCATCATTGACATCTATATTTTATCTTTCAGAATCAGAGTTATCTAATTTGGCCAAGCTATACCGAGATGAGCGACTGAAGCAGAAAGCCGAATCCATAAAACTTGAGAACTGTGAAAAGCTCTCCAACCTCATAGGGATTCAAAGGAGTCGCCAACTGGCAGAGGCATGAGAGAACAGTCATGATAAGTCATCCATTCTATTGGCAGGAATTTCCATTAGACTCTCTTTTCCTTTTACAATGAAGAGGAAAGGCATCAAGAGAGAAAAGCATCTCATACAAACTAGACACAGAATCATTATTGTGTTCATGAAAACTGCGTATGAACTGAGACATAGAGGCAGCACTTGCTGTAGTGTATACAGTATATTTAGTTCCAGGGTCCAGTAGTATTTTCATGTTAGTGATTCTTCATTTACTTACATTTTGTTACAGTCTTCATGTGATACTTTGCCACCGTTCAAGTACCAAGTAGGTGCTTTGCAGGATCATAGCCATCATGCTTATTGAGCCTACGGTTTCTCAACATTTACCTTGCAAGACATCATAGAAGAGGAAGGGTGGTCCTAGTCTTTCATTTGTGTGCATATAGATACTTGCACAGGCATATATACTGTATAAACCTATGTACAGTTCAGTTTCAAGAGAACTTACAGGAGTATCTTAAGGATATACTGTTTTTGTTATGTTGTAATGCAGAAAGCACTAGGAAAACCTAAAGTGCTGCATGGAGATTCTGCAGGCTCATCATCTAAAAACACAATACAAAAGAAAATAGGGAGAGAAGAGAAGGCAGGAACTGGAGCAACACCCCCTTATTTGACCAATGGACGAGGGTGGATTGGTATTCCTGTTGCCAGATCAGACTTGTACACGAAGAGGAGAAAATGGCCTTAGGTCTCCAGAGCACGATGTAAAGTTCTGTGAGAGAATCCAAACCAGGCGGCCTCACAGATGAGAGTGTGAGCTAGGTTCCAACCTTTGGCCTAGAGCAGTGTTGTCCAAACTTGGCCACTTTAAGATGAGTGGACTTCAACTCTCAGAATTCCCCAGCCAGCATGGCTGGCTGGGGAATTCTGGGAGTTGAAGTCTACAGTTCTGTGAGAGAATCCAAACCAGGCGGCCTCACAGATGAGAGTGTGAGCTAGGTTCCAACCTTTGGCCTAGAGCAGTGTTGTCCAAACTTGGCCACTTTAAGATGAGTGGACTTCAACTCTCAGAATTCCCCAGCCAGCATGGCTGGCTGGGGAATTCTGGGAGTTGAAGTCTACAGTTCTGTGAGAGAATCCAAACCAGGCGGCCTCACAGATGAGAGTGTGAGCTAGGTTCCAACCTTTGGCCTAGAGCAGTGTTGTCCAAACTTGGCCACTTTAAGATGAGTGGACTTCAACTCTCAGAATTCCCCAGCCAGCATGGCTGGCTGGGGAATTCTGGGAGTTGAAGTCTACTCATCTTAAAGTGGCCAAGTTTGGACAACACTGGCCTAGAGCAATCCTGTGCATATTTACTCAGAGGAAAGCTCTAGGCAGGCTAATGGAATTTATTTCCAAGTAAGTATTACAGTATTGTGACCTGCATTACATTTCTGTTGGCCTAAGCCTAAACTTTGCTATCAGAGTAATTTAGGCTGGTACCTCTCAGATGTGTTGAGATCGGAACGCATCATCTGATCCCTACACTGTTAATTCTGGGAGTTCCAATCCCAATATATGTGGAGGTGCCAAACTAAGGAAGGTGTTGTCACAGCGTGGTGCTGGTATCCTGTGCGCTGAATGTTTTGTTTGGAGGGGCATGCTAAAATCCAATCAATGCACAGATTTTGGTGAATTTCTTTGCAAAGGTCATTTCACTTGTGACATAAGCAATATGGTTGTAACTACAGCTGCTTTCAAGTGAGGCTTCCACGCAGAACCCTTATGTTCTCTCAATGAATGTTGCCTGACTACAAAGTCTAGAGATGAAATCCTTGCCTTCTTAGGATCTGTTGGCTGGAAACATTTGGCATAACCTTTTTCTACCAGTATAAATGGCTAACCTTATCCATTGGGCTGTGATAGAACAGCAGCTGTAGTGTTTGCTTCTCTTTCCTCTTCCTTTTGTATGACATCTGAACACAGGGTCATAAATAATTCACTACCAAAATAAAACATACAACAATCCCCCGAAATAGGATAGCCTTGAAAAGAATAGGGTTATATAAGATGATGGCCTTGAAAGTTTGTGTGATTAAAGATTTTAATTATATGATGAAAGGAGATGAATGTGGCATAATGCGATCGGTACATAACAGTGAGTTTTATGAAATACTGTACTTTCCTCCAAGGCAATTAACAGATATGCTTAAAGAGTTTGCTCTATCATTTTGAGATCCATGGTTTATCCTTAGTGTTCCTCTCACAATTCACTTGACCGCACACACCCCAGTGTTGCATCCTTGCTGAACAGATGCAGGCTTGTACATGGAAGTATTCTTAAGATACAGTACCTTTCAGGATTAAACGGTTCTCATTAAATTTATTTTGAAAGACCCCTGCTTCATCAGCTGTATTTTACAAATGTTTATATTGCAAATTGCTGGAAAACCAAGCTCCTGAATTTTGATATCCAAAATTAACTTTGTATTTTGACTGATTATCCCATTTAGGCTATAGGTAAATCTATAGCAGATTTTTGCGTAAACTAAAGGCATGGTTCAGCCTTTGTGAAATAGTTTCTTTTTAAATGTTCTTCAGATGTGCATGAGTTCTGAAAATGTTCTCATTATTTATTTCAGATCAAGAACCAGCTGTTTTTTTATTTATTTAAATGTTTAAATAATTGGTGATATTTATTTCTCTGAATATACATATATATTGGCAACATGGTGACTACATGATAGCATTGAATCATTATTGTATAGTTCATTTTTCAGAAAATATTTAGGCGTGTAATGCTCCAGAGGATTAATGAATAAAATGCTTTCCTTATTTAGAAAAAAAAATACACACTTTGCCAGAGCAATTTGTGAATCTGAAGTATACAGTTCTTGTTCATTTGACCACACTCTTGGGTCACTTCAGTGCATCTGCTGTTAAAGATTTCACCCTTGGCTTGAGAAACAAAATTTTGTGTGTTTTTGTGTGTGTGTTTTATAAAGAAATAATTAAATGTAATGCTTTAAAAAGACAACTAGTGGCTGTGTTGTATGAAAATAAAAAAAATAAAAGATATGAGTATTAAAACTCACATCAGATTTGTTGCCTTTGTTTGGGGCTGGATTACGGCAATCCTTACAAACACTGATTTGTAAGTGATAAAGTATCTCATAGGGACATAGACTGAAAACCAGAAAAAGACACATCGGCCATCTCGAGCAGGGCAGAAGAGCGCCGTCAAGCGGATACCATTAGAAGCCAAAATGAAGAGTCTGTGCCGAATACAAAAGATAATTCTGTTTGCCACAAACTAGGCAGCTGCACTTACTCAATACAGTAGCCGTGTGGCTAGTTTACGGTGGTGTGTCAGTGCAATTGTTCTGGGATTGCATACGTAAACCATGGTTCCTTATGCAGCCCCAGTTTGTGAAGAGCGAGAAGGTAAGGCCAGAGAAAGAAAGTAACAGTCAAGCCAAGAAATGAAGTAGAGTTTTCCCAGCAAGCAACGACCAGACTTGGTATCTGTCTTTCCTTTGCCCTCCAAATTCAGGCGTAACCTCAAAGCTGCTGCCCGATGAAGTGGGCTTGCCCAACTCGCTAGATTCAAAAGGGGCCGGCTGTCTGAGCCGTGCGAACCTGGCACTCGGTTCATTATGAACAATCCGGTTTACAGGGCCGCCCTCCCGCCGCCATGCAGGGAGGCGTCACGGGAACGCCACCCGCGACCGCGCTCGGCCAAATGCAAAGACAGCGGGAGACCGCCGGACCTCCTAGGTAAGCAAAGCTCTACCCCTTGCCCAGGCTCGGCCCCTCCCTCGAGGACACGAAGAGTTCCCTTTCCGAACGGAGAGGAGGCGCTTCGTGCCTTCAGCCAATAGCAGCGCCCTCGGAGTATTCAAAACGAGGCGGATTCGCGCCTCTCCTGGTTACTTTTGACGGCGGCGGGAGCGGGGGGCAGCTCTCGAGGCTGAATCGCTGGGGCGGAGCTGGATTGGCCGGAGCTCGACTGGCCAGGCGAGGAAGCGCTCCTACTTTCACCGGGCGAAAGCCGGCGCTCAATGGCATCGCCAGCGGCCTTCCAACAGTTGAGAGAGCTGATCGAGGTCCAGGAGGTTTTACTGGACAAACTGAGGCGAAAGGTGGGGCAGGGGCAGGTGCTTCCCTCAATCTCTCGCGCTTCCGGATGCGTTGGACTACGATAAGCCTAAATTCAGAAGTCTGGGACTTTAAGTCCTGTACACTTGAAAAACCTGGCCAAGGAGCTGATGGCGAACAGCAGCACGAAGTCGCCTTGTTCCGACCGGGAAAGGGGCAGAAGCCACACCGGAGGAAGCCCGGTAGTTTACCGGACATCCTAGTACTATATCCAAATCTTTATTTTTTCATGTTTGCTGAGAATGAGGAGCATGTCTCTAAAACTGCTCCATTGCTTCAGTCAACTTTGAGGAATGCCAAGATTTGCAAACACTCAGAAATATCTTTAAAACATTATACCAGTATCTTGAGTGGGCCCAGGGTCTTTCCCCACCCGCATCTAACATGCCCTTTTGTTGGGTGAGTTCTGCGTGATGTTGTCTTTATCATGTCCCCAGCCCATGAGTGGAACAGGCTTAGCTGTCCTGTATCAGGGTTAAGGTAGCGATGTGGAAAATCTGCTAGGATTTTTTTTCCCACTCTTCATCTTGGAGGGCAGTCAGGTGACCACACTGACTTGAAACAGGCAGCATAGGGGAGAGCAGTTCAGTTCAGCAGGAAAGATCTTTAATGCTGGTGACTATTGGGGAAGAACTGGAAAACCCAATGGGGTAGGCAGTGGAATTAAGTCTTCTGAAAGGGGTACTAAATACGAGCCCTTCACTCTGCAACATTTTGTTGAGAGCCCAGTATATAATTGAGTATAAGTAATCATAATAAGTAATAGAACAGTTGTGTTTGGAGGCTGTGGCCTGTCCTTCAACCTGTTGCCAAGGTAATCGGTGGCTGTGAATTCTGTCTCACACGTAATGGATGACAGTGGGGAAAGGCCAGAGTATGATAGCCATTGCTAGAAACACAAGTCTGGAAACCCTGATCATTACAGCAGGTTTTATCATTCTTACAGTATAAAGATAGCCTGCAGGACACATTTAGACTCTTAAGGATTTACCCCAGATGTCTATGCTGAGCTTGTCACTCAAATTCCTTTCTCCATGCCACTGTTGCTACAGCTATGCTGAGTGTGGTCAGAAAACCCATCCTCACTTCTGGTCATCTGTGTTGTGCAAACAGCTGAAGGGTATGTAGGTTAATTGTTCCTTTGTACATCGAAAGAGACAACTTTGTAGGCCTAACAAAAATGGAGACTCTCGAGGCACTCTGTGGTTGTTTTCAGTTTTCTCCCATGAGCACATGTGGGGTGAATAAAAAAAGACAAAAGTATGAGGGAAGTGAAGGCCTTCTTGATTATCTAAGGAGATGCTTATCCCAGTTGGGCCATTGTAGACGTTTTGTTGTGTGTGCTAATGAAAATATAATTAATAAAAAGGATGTGACAGCCTCCTTTGCACATATTGTGAGAACTAAAAAACAGGTCATAAGGACAACTGAGTGAGACATCCCAGGTCACACACTTCCACTGGACAGTTAATTCACTGGAAGAACGGATTCCTAGTCAGCCATGTTGTGTGAACATGGTTGTAGTCCTTTAAAATAAATAACTGTTTTGAAATAATCTTTAAACAGGTTGATTTTATACTTAGATGTGCTTAAGTATATTGAACTCAACATACCTAATTGCATGAAGTTTAGATCTGGCCGAATGATAAGATTTTTACATACAAATGATTTGCAAAATGTAACTTTTTTTAATAGATAAAAATACAGGAAGAGAATTCAGTAAACAAGGAGCAATATGAAGCTATCGTGAAGAAACTAGAGGTTTTTACATACAAATGATTTGCAAAATGTAACTTTTTTTAATAGATAAAAATACAGGAAGAGAATTCAGTAAACAAGGAGCAATATGAAGCTATCGTGAAGAAACTAGAGGTACGTAAGCTTCAGTTACTAATTTGTGATATTTCTTCTCTTGTGTAAAGATAAGGCAGAAATAAGAACATTTTCTGTAATATCTGAAAGAGCTGCATCCTGGTTATTATGTAAACTTTACATGTGTTATTATTGTTTCCACTTGTAAGAATTGCACTGTAAGATTATAATGGTTTCAGAGTTACCTGAATACTTGAAAGTTGGTGAGAACATTGATGGTACTTACTGGTTAACATTTAGTCTAAAAACACGAATTCTTCATTTGTACTTTAATTTGCAGAAGGAAGAGAAAGAACATGCAGAGACGAAGAATGCCCTAGCTATAACATCTGAACATCTGGAGTTTGCCCTAGGAGAGATTGATGTTTTGTCAAAACAACTTGAGAGGGAGAAACACGCATTTGACAACGCGTACGCTTGTAACTTGGTGGGGGAAACCCTATGAACAGAAGTGGTTTTATAGTTTGGCTGGGATAAAAGGAAGCTGCCAAATCACCTTCACCATCCTTAAATTAACCATTAGATAGTCCATCTTATAGGGGCCATTACTTGCCCTTCTCCCACCTTCTGAATCAACCGTGCACTACTAGCAGCAGCAGTGATCATCTAAATGCTGGGAGAAATGAAACCTGAAGATATGCAAAGTCAGGGCCATTTCAGTTACTGGTTTCAGACTTAAGCATAGCTAATTCCGTTAAATCAGATGCTGTTTATTTTTAGAAATATAATCAGCAGATTTGAAACTTGCAACAAAGTTCTGGAATGTGGAGAGCTGTTGGCTATCTCTGTAAATACTGAGATTAAACCAGGGGTCCCCAGACTCTTCAGCTTACCGACCCCTTCATGAAGTTTCAGATTGTTCATTGACCCCCAAATATTTATTGTATGAAAATAATTTAATAAACTTTATTACTTTAACTAATAGTACCACAAGTAATCATACTAATAACAGCAACAATAATGGATAGTCCTATTGAGCACTTTGGAGAACCCTGGATTAGACCAAACCTGTTGACAGTCTCTATGGATACTGCTGTTGGGAATGCCTATATTAGGAGTCACACTCAGAGAATTAATTTGTTACAACTATATGGAACAATACTCAATGCTATAAAGAATTGTATGTGAATGTTTTGAATCACTACAACATAATAGAAATATATGAAATAAATAGAAGCTTAAAGGGAGTCCATCTGTGGGTATAACTGACGCTGTTGTGCAGGTCAGACGATTCTGTGGTTTCAGACATGAATCTGGTAAGTACTTTAAGTGATATTTATAATTAGCTCCAATTCATTTTATCCAAAATATGACCAAAAAAGTATGGAGTCCCTATTCCAGCTGTAGTCAATGATGCTGGCAAATCAAATATATAAATAAAACTGCTTCATTGTTACTTGTTTTGTAGACTTTCTCGAGTAAACAGCAAAGCACTGAAACAGTCACTTCAGAAAGACAAACTTATAAGCAAATGTACAGGTAAGTTCAATAGATGTTTTAAACATTTGGAGGGTGTACTGATTTTTTTTAAAAGTGAAACACTTCTAAATGAATGCTTTAAAATAACATCTACATTGCAATATGATCTGCTTATTGTTTATTTTTTTTAAGGTACACAGCTCTTAAAATTTGCTGTGTAAGGTTGGGATTCTAAGGGCATGTTGAGAATTAGGAGGGGAAGCAGATCTACTCATTAAAACTCATCAGTTGATTCTGCTGTGATCTTTTGAGATTTAGGAAGGGGAAAACTAAATGACTCCCAATTTTCTGTTATAGAAATTGAAACCCATATTCAGAAGCAGGAAAATATTCTAAGCTGCAAAGAAAATGAGATCAAAGAACTGCATCACTTCATCAACAAACAGAAGCAAACCTTAAAGTAGGTACCTTGAGCTGATATTTCTTTCTCCCTCTATTATTCGTTGTTAACTTCAGCAGAAGACAGATGTTCTTTTATTTAAAATACTTCCAGTAGATTCAGTGAAAATGTATGTATGTATGTATTTAAAAAATTTGTATGGCTGCCCATCTTAGAACACAACTGTGGGTGGCTCACAACAGCAATACAGGTAGTCCTCACTTACTGACTGCAATTGGGACCAGCAACCCCATCGCTAAGCAACATGGTTGGAAAGTGAAACATCACATGACCACAAACATAAGCGAATCACCTGCGGTTATTAAGTGCAACATCATGTGACCACAACTTGTGACTTACTGCCGGTTCCCCCATTGACTTTGCTTGTTGGAAGCTGGCTGTGAAGATCGCAAATGGCACTCACATGACTGGGATGCTGTGATGGCTGCAAGTTTGAGGACCGGTCATAAATCTCCTTTTTTTAGTGCCATTATAACTCTGAATGATTGCTGAACGAGCAGTTGGTAAGTGAGGACTGCCTGTAAAACAAAAGGAAAAAAATCCATAAAAACTAAAACTTGGCACCACAGCCATCCTCCTTGGATGCCTCCAACAAGCTTCCATCTCACCCTATCCCAGTACCTGGGGGAGAAGCCAGCAGCTTGCTAGATCTGTAGAAGAAGAATGACCCACAGGGCAGAGGCTGCTACAGAAAAGCCATGCTTCCTCGATCCTACTAGATGGCAACATTTAAGGGAAGGGATCTGGAGCGTGCCCACTCTAGCCAACCTGGTGGGAACAGCAGAGACCCACAGGGAGAGGCAGTCCCACAAATAACCTGGCCTATGCCATGTGGGGCTTTAAAGGTTGAATTGCACCTAGAAAGAAGCTGGGAGCCAGTGCAGCTCATTGTGCAACAATATGGACAAACCAAGAGACGCCAAGCACTGAGCACACTGCCACATGCTAGATCAGTTGTAACTTCTGGGTGGTCTTCAAGGGCAGCCCCATGTAGTGCAGATTGCAGTAATCCAACCAAGAAGTGACGAAGCCTGAGTGACTATGACCAAGGCCTCCCTGTCCAGGAATAGACACAACTGGCATACAAGATGAATCTGGGCAAAGGCCCTCCAGCCACAGCTTCCACCTGCTCCAGTCCAGTTACTATAGGTAGCATGGTTGAGTTTTCCTCCCTGACATAAATTTCTTTCCATTTTAATCCTTGTTATGTCTATAATGTTTGGCTTCAAATTGTCCTCTGCCTGTTAGTTCCTTAGTTCTCAATATGTAATCCAAAGAAAAAGCAAGCATAATAGTTAATGGCACATATTATTCCTATTTCCTGAGGGTATCTGGTTTCTATCAGTTGTTGGTTTCCTAAAATAAACAGAGTCTCCTGCTTTTTATTCTTTTCATTTCTATCTGTCTTTCTTTTGGCCACACCTTCCAGTTTGTTTTCAAAGGTTATAGGCCTATTTTGATATCACATGGTTTTAACAGATATGCTCTTCTCCTTTCTTTGGTATATCCATGAGATAATACTTAATTTAGAGTTGCCACGTGTTATGAAGTTAGCTTATTTCAGTAAAGTGGTTAAGATTAAACACAGTTAATCTGGTTTCATTAGAAGTTGCAATTGATCCAAATCATTAGAAAAGGGTGAGCCTCCTTGCAGTCACACCAAAGCAAGAGAAAATATGATGGATCAAGCCCACAAGGTCAAGGATTGCTATAATTCCTTCCTTCCTTCCTTCCTTCCTTCCTTCCTTCCTTCCTTCCTTCCTTCCTTCCTTCCTTCCTTCCTTCCTTTCCCAAGAATGTATGATGATGATGACATCTAAACCAACTCAATTACTGGCTAAGCAACCACCTACTGTTTTCCCTTAAGCAGGAGTGGTAATAAATCTTTTCAACTATGTGTATATTGGGAAGGACTTTGTATGGGTACACATGAGGGTAGCCCTCCATTTATTTATTTGAGTTATTCAGTATACCAACAAAGACAACTCAGGACGCCTGATCTGACACCAGAATTATTTTATAGGGGCTGTTGCTATTTTTTTTAATGGTTATGTATTGTTGTTTTGCAGGAAACAAGCATCTGAATTCAAGATACAGAAACAACAAGAAAGTTACATAGCAAATGTGCTTGGAAAAAGGCTCAAGAAAGATTTTAAGTAACCACAGAAGCATTCCCTTAAGCTGCTAGTTTAGGACTGTTTTTCTAGTCTAAAGGATGGATTTACCAGGTTTTCTCACTGAGAAATTCACCACAAAATGTCAGCTTTCCATTTTTCATTCTGTCTGTTGGGCCAAAATTGGATATCCTGTTTTTAAGTATTTGTCTAAAGTAGTGGGAATACAACACAGTTATTCTGAAATGACCTGCCATTGTTTGAATGTTCTGTTTAAATCCTATAGAGGAACATAATTAATGGTGGGAAGAGCCATACAACAGCAAGACTATCCTATCCCAATTCATTATGTTGTGTACTATACTGTATAAGTAATTAGATTAGTAGCGTTATGCTAAGAAATGTGTTTCTGAATTTTTCATTACCTATAGAAAAGACTTGAAAAGTTCTGCTGGACTGTGGACAGGGAAGAATCAGCTAGGCAAATATAAAGATCCATTATTATGAGAAGGCAGCCCTTTGATAGGATTGAACGGAGCACACCCTAACTATTTTAGTATAGTACTTCACAAATTATCACAAATAATTTCCAATTTTCTGTGTCTTGGAGAAGAGATTCTTATGATTCGTGTAATCAGCCATGCCTTGATTACATCTGGAAATATTCCCTATTTTGAAGACATCATACATGGGAGAAGTAATATATTTTGGCTTAAAGTACCTCATTTACCAACCCAGGTGATGTACCAATTATAGCTACATAATAAGGAGACAATAGAAAGTCAAACCTGCTCCAGACAGAAATGGTCAATTTCAGTTTAGTCTCTGCTGGCTTTTATCCCAGTAACTGCCCAGCACCTGGCATTTATTCCAGATGTGATCCTTGGATTCACAATGAACTGGCCCTTCCAGCTTACTTAAATCTTACACCCTGATTTATATGAATGGCTGAGGAGTCGTGGGAGTTGAGAACAACTCTACATAACATTTTGGATTCTGGTTCTTAGCAATGCAGCTTCAAAAGTGCAAACCTCAGTTAATATATTGTGTTTACTTTAAAGAGTTAATTGTCATGAGATTTACATATTTCTTTTCTTTTTTTTTTTTAATTCCCAAGACTTTAAATTTAGCTCCATTGGTGAACCGATCTGACCCAGAGTATCCAGTAGCTTATGATCCTGGCATGCCTCCAGTGGATTAGCACCTGCTGCTGTTCCTTTGCTGATCCTTTTTAGGAAAAAAATAAACAACATATTTTGCTATAGTTTCCACTAAGTGCAGCCCACTGCATCTCATTCCATGTGCTATAAATTGATATACATGTATATATGTTTATCTGTTATATGTAGAATAGTTCGGTTGGAAGAGAAAGAAAAAAAATAACATTTCCTATTTTGTGGGTATTGAATGTAAGAGGGATGGTTTATGTAAAATGTGAAAGTCATCTTGTCGCTCAAACTCAAACCTTTTTGCCCCCCCTGTTTGGGAACAGACAGATTAGATCTCTACTGTGAATCAGCAACTTAAGTCAGTGTCAGATATACTTCAGCTACAGTATCTTGGCTACATTTCAGTATTGAGATGATATTTGGGGAATTGGATCAATAAAACCATCTGACATTTAGATGCTGAAACATTTACAAGAACTCATGTTGTACTAGTAGTCCAAATACTTCCAGTGGTAATTTTTAAACATCTTAATTTAGCAGCTACTTATCAACAGAGGCTTTGTTGGTAGTACTGTTTGGATTAAACATCAACTTTGCCACTGAAAAACATCTACTGTATTTGCATATGTAGAATGAATCAGTGTCACAGTGACAAAGCATAACATGAGACATTAAACAGAAGCTAAAGTATAAATATACATGGAAAGTAAGAAGGAATGCTTGAAATTTCCTCCAATGTGTACTCACTTCAGGTGAATGGAATTTAGCCTAAGGTAACCCATGGGTTTTTTTTAGAAAGCTATCTTATGAGCATGCAAAATAGTATTAGTATTGTATAGCTTGATGCAAATGTAGTGTTTCCATTATTAAAAAAGTGAAGACTCCAAGCGTGACTCCTTGTGTTTATATGGAGTGTCCATGTCGTTTTCAGCCATGGAGAAGTGGCTTGCTGCTGCTTTCCACAATGTATTTGTGCTTCCCAGTGTAGTTTACAGAACTGAGATTTCCATGGTCTCCCCTCCCAATGCTAGTCATCTTTAGCTTCTAAGCCCTGTCAAGGTCAGTAAGTTCCTATTACTTGCTGAGGCATTTGTTATTTCTATAATAAAATGTAAAATATACTAATTTATATCTAATGTTAATAGGGGAAGCAATCTATATTTGGGTGACTTAGTATATTACAGGTTCTTTAAAAAAGTAGTGAAGGTCTATTTTAGGTATTATAATTTAGTTTCTTGTAGAACAAGCCCACCTTAAAACCTATCAAATCTATGATCAGAAAGGTGTATGCAGTAATAAACTGAGATGTTACATTTGATGAAACATTTCTTTTTGACAGCATACTCCATAATTGATATGGAGTAGCCAAACATTTTCAGAAATTCAGCTGGTTGACAAAGATGTAGCCAGATTATTGATTTGCAAACCATAGCTCTGGTGGGAACAGCTGTGTTTTCATGCTGAGCCATTTCTCCTTCAAAAAAAAAAATGTCCAGGGATAAGCAAAATGGTTTTCAGAATCACAGATCCAGGTTTCAGACGGGCATCTCTGCTTGCTCCAGTGGGGATGTAGTATCCCATTCCCCATTTAGGGAGAAAACGCTTTGCACTTTCATCCTGGGAAAACAGGCTATCAAGAGACAGTTCTTTGGGGAGATGCTTGTATAGAAGCCAGAGAGAGGTGGTAACAATCTTTGTTTTTATGTGTATGTGTGAAGATCCTAATGGATCTCTCCTTCCTCAGCAAAATGACCCTTGGAAAAAATTGGATGAAAGGACCTGGGATCTTAGTTCCCAAGGAATGAGTTATGAAAGGGTCAGATGAAGAGATCTAGACTTGGGTTATGAAAGTCTGCATGTATTGCTTTAAACACCCTGTCGTCCATTTCACCATATCCAGTGACAGATCACCAAGGTCAGGTCTCCATAGCCCACAGGGACTCCAAAAAGACAGTAAAATCCTCTTCTGCCCCCTTGGCAAAATAAATGCCAGGTGTATTTTAAGGCTGCTAATGTAGTCTACTAAAGTAGAACATAAGGAGCTATCTTTATGTTTGTATCTCTTATGTACTTATGTATTATGACTTATGCACTCTGGATGAATTAGGCTTTGGGGGTCCCCCCCCCCCATATTCTATTTTAGTTATCTTGTATGCTATTTTTGGGTGGAATGGCAAGCTATACATTTAATGAGTAAATATCTGGAATTGAGCTGAAGCAAATGGTTTCAGAAATAGAGACCTAACATTTTTAAGTGCTCAAATATTTTGAAGACTTGCAGCACAATTGGTTGCAATGTTTAAAGGCAATGTTAACCCAAAATATGCATTCATTTTTCAGTACAACAATTTACTTCTACATAAGCATATAGGAGATTCCATCTCACTTTTTTAAAGTATGCTCTCCCAGAAGTAGCACTTTACTACTGTAGTAATACTAAATTCATTTGCAGGTTATGAAGGAATCTGTCCTTAGCTTGAAATGAACATTTCTGCCATTATTAATTAGATGAAGATCAGTTCATCAGGCAAATTCTGGAGGAAAAAAATGGCAGACTGAACACACCTCCCTGAAAAGTGAAGCTGACGACTACAGCGGAATGAAGAGCCGGTGAGTAGACTGGCTCTCTGTGATTCCTCTCCGGATAAGGAGAGGACTTGAGATTGCCCCCAAGTGCTCCAGACAGTTGCTCCTCACGAGGAGACCACAAGACAGCAGTCTCTGGTGGGTTTAGAGCTCTGAGAGACGAAGGAATAGCCATCTTGCTCAAACCACGGTCAGCACCTTTGAAAAGACACTTAAGTTTGCATTCTTTCTTTTCTAATCACTTTTGGAAATTGCTTGTAACTGCTTTTCAGCTATTAGAAACCTTTGGATCAACAAGTTTAACAGTACCAGGTGAGTTTCCTTCAATCCTAGCTAAAGAGATTTTTAACTACAAGTTTAAGAACTTAAAAAATTTTGGGGGGGGAATAAACAGCAAAAGGTTGATTAGAACTTTGATTTTAGAAAGTTACAAATGGACTAAGGATCCAGCTAAATTTGAAATAAGATTTTGGAATTAATTATAAATAATCCTTCCATGGGAAAATGTGTTTGTTTTGAATGTTTTAAAAAAACATAAGATTTTAAAAATTGGACACTTAGAGGGAAGTAAAGATTACAATTAAAGGAGAAGAACACATAAACTCGACTTACAATTACAGAATGAAGCAAAATATCCTAACATTGGACATATTGAAGGATATTTTTGAAAAATGGACTCAGAAATTAATACTAATAGTGTCAACAGAGACATCTGCCTCTATGGAGAGACTGTCTCAAGTTCAAAGACACAATAAAGAAATTTGGGCAATTAACCACAGCAAGCTGTGCCCATTCTTTCTGTAACCATGGTGTGACAAGTTTCTCCCTTGCTCCACTGATTTGATCTGAAATTATAAATTGTAGTCTAATTAGAGAAGATAACAGTGACAGAAAACCCCACACTCCATGTAGAGTGGAGTTCATCTGTAGAGTTGTGGTGCTCCTAAGTAAATGATAGGACCTTTATGAGAGGGTCCTTATGAAAAAAAGGGGGGGGGCTTTGATGATTCTGCAAACTGGCATGTTCTTCTTGTCTAATGTTCCAGATAATTGTTCCACTAGTGCTGAAAAGAGATCCCAGTGCTCAGTGATCAGGTTGCAGGCTGCACTGTTGGCTCAAATCACCCTTGTAAGAATGAGAGGAGAGAAAACAATGTTTATAAGTTTATTCATTCTAAACACTTATATCATGCCTTTTCTCAACAAAGCTGACAAGAATAACAACATTCTAAGAAAATAAGGAAGTGAAAAAGTAGCATAATCTTTTAAAACAATAAATTTTGCTTTGCGTCAAGCTCAGTGTTTGGTGACTTCATGAATATATCCATGTCAGGGCTTTGAAAGTAATTTGTCACTATCTTCTTCTGAGATGTTTTCCAGATGAATAGATATTCCATTCAGTAGAACCTTGATATTAGACTCACACAAAAGAGCTAGAGGAAGTTGAGTTTAAGGAGTATTCAGGGCCCACCTTTCATGCATAATATTACAGAAATCCAACTGGGAGGTGACTAAGGCATGAGTGACTGTGAGCAGGGCCTCGCAGTCCAGAAGTGGGTCCAATTGGTGCATAACGCAGAATTGTGCAAAGGCCATCCTGGCTACAGTTGCCACCTGTTCCTCAAGGAGGAGTGCTGAGTCTAGAAGGGCCCCAAATCATGCAAGGGCTCTGAATGGGGAATGCCACCCACTGAGAACAAAAGGTGAAAAATCTCCAGATCCAGTTTCTGGGAGTCCAAAACTAGGGCAGTGTCAGGAGCTACAATTCACAGCTCTAACATTTTTGCTAGGATTAAGTTGAAGCTTGTTCTTGTAGAGAGTGATATACAGTATAGCATTCCATGTGGTTCTAATCCAATTTTCTTTACAATAATCTGCTTTTTTAGAACAGTGATTTTCACAAATACTATCTGATTATCATATTGTTTTATAAAATGAGTCAAAAGGTGAACCAATATTATGAAGGAAAAGTTGAGTCATGAATATTAAAAGCAGTCTGATCTATATGCTATATAAAGTTATATAAACTGACATTGACATTTTTTCATTCTTCTACTGTACATCCTTAGCATAATCTTTTCACAATATACTTCTAGCAATCCTTCAAGAGTGCTTCCAAAAAGATTTTTCTCCAATTCTTGGGCTGCATGTCCCCCTGCTGACCACGTGACATCTTTAAATCATGTCTGATGCAAGAGAAACCTACAGAGGCTCAATTTCCATGCCATTCTCTAAGGTCTGCTACATCAGCTTTCCTTTTATCTATCATTTCCTTTGCATTTTAAAATCAGCCCATGATTTCTCCACAGTATCCTCATTATCTATAGCTCTCCAACATTTTCAAGAGTCTGAAACCTGCAGAGAACATTTTCAGCCAATTAACAAACATCATCTCACTCTCCCTTCACAAAGGAGTAGCAAATAAGTTTCTAGCCTCCACCCACCTTGCCTTCCTTGACACATGTATTTCCTTTGCAAACGTGTGTTTATGGGCATTTGCTTGGTACACTGCATATTTTCTTCCTGGTATGCTGCTATGGAGGGGAAGACTGATGTTAAAAACTATTAACAAATATACCAAAACCCCTCAAAAGTTTTCTACCCACCAGGGTGCCAGATCTGCCCTGCTGAACAAAGGTGACATCCCAGCAGCTTTTCAATCAAGGGCTTTTCCCCAATAGCCGTGATCCCAGTAGCATGTTTCTAAGATGGGCTCAATTAAACAATAGCTAGGAACAGTGAAGCAAGGGTGGCGGGTGGGGAGATTGGCAGGCAGTTTTCCAGTAGAAAAACAAATGCCTAACGATGAATTTGTTGGAATATAAATTTCATCCATCTTGAAGCAACCTGATCTTCTGGCAGCAGCTCTTCAAACTTTCAGACAGACATTTTTTCAGCCCTATCTAGAGACGCCAGAAAGTGAACAGGGTCTTCTGTATGCAAAGCATTTGGCCTGCTATGAAATGGAATGGAGAGGGCAGGAGCATTCTAGCAGCAAGTGGTCACAGTGTCAACTTTCTGTCCCAACTGGAGACAAGGAATAAGGGCCAAGGGGGAGGGGGTGGCTTCCAAACTCTCTTCGAGAGGAACAAGCCAGAGGTCCCAATTTGGATACCACACTAAACGCACTCTGGAAAGAGTTTCTGCTGGCAGGAGAAACCAAGGGGGAGAGACTGAGAATACCAGCTTCCTACATGTGTGTGCTTTGTTTTAACGTGGGCCAAGGGGAAAAAAAACAGAAAAAGATAGCCTGGGGTGCGAAAGCACTTCAAAGGCACTTGTAGGATGCTGGTG